AGATGTGTATAATGCTTAGACTTAGAACTGGGCCTAGGCCTAAGGGCAATAAAGACTAACAGCTCGGTATCCCATCAACCGTACAGCAAGTTGATTCGTCCGTATGGCTGTTTTCATTATAATGACCAGGTAGAATTCTGCATAAGCATAGACTAGCCTCATTATTATACTAGTAGGCCTAGGCCTAGTTATCTTTAAGAATTTTTTTTTTAATTTGCCAAAAAGTAAATGTTATATAACAATGGGCAACATATAAAATTCACAGTGAACGAATTCATTCGAGCAAATTTGGTGAGCAAGCGATCTTTTGTTAATGCAGGCAGGCTCGCTCACTCGCTAAGCACAAAATCAATTTTCGATAAAATGATCGATGCTGGACTATTCCAAAATCCATGCCCGGTGTTTCAGCTGTGTTTAAACTCACATGTTACCTGAAGCTGAGTGTAATGGCCTAAGCCTAGCCTACATTATCGACTGTGGATCAAGAAAATTCTAGTTTTTTGGGAAACTTACCACCGGTTCCTTCGACGGTCTCTGGTTCGGGGTCGGCGGTAGTGTCTATTTCTTCGTTGGTCTCATCCAAAGCTGCCTCTTCCTCGCCTCCGTTACCGAGTTCTTCCGTCTCTTCTTCTTGTTGCCCTTCAACACAATCAATCGTTATATTTTCCCCTTCATCTTCACTCAGGTCTGATCCAGGCATGTTATGATTATATTAATCAAACCTAGGTTGTATTTAAAACGCCGCAAAACGAAATAAATTACTAATAATCCGCACGCCTTGATTACTTCCCAGGCATAAAAGTGAAGATGGCGCGGTGTAAAGCTCACCCCCCACGACAAAAGGGTGGAAAATGCTAACTGACCATGCGCAGTGTGACGTAATTAGCCAGGGGATATCCCATAATATTGTTTAAAAGTATCCCATAATAGTAACTAATGAAGCCTCCCTTTGTGACGCTTTAGTAAATTGGTGAAAAAAGTAGAACAATACCAATAATTGCAAGTCCTAAGACATTTAAATTTTTATGATAATCAAAACATGCTGTTTAATTAGTAAAACATTTATAACAATGGGATACACAGGTACTGATAATTTTTGAACTGACTGGCATATTGGACCCTATTGGGAGGACCAAAAACCTGCTTTATGGTCCTCCTGATGATATAGTTTCAAAATTTAGGCCTATGAGAAACAGGTCCACATAATTACTGTATTATATAAGGAAAACTTTGTGTCTGTATAGAGATAATTAGTGTTATGTTGCATGTGGCAAAAACACCCGGAAGTGATGACGGCATTAGTGCAGAAAAACGGCATCCCATAATAATATTGATAATGCTACACAGGAACTTGTTAATAAGAAAACCCATATCTGCGCAAGACTAGTACGAAACTCACTACCATAATTTGCAATATTAACTTATATATTAAAAGTGGGGCTATTCCAGGTTTAGGAAAACTGGGAAAATCCCCCGTCTAGAGTGACGGGCGGAACTATCATTCGTCTGTAAAATGGAAACCCAGCTCACTGTAAACTTCAATAACATCGAAGGTAGCTGAAATAATAATTAAAAAATTTAAAAATAATAATAATTGTGTATATTTTTATATTTGTTCATCCTTGTTATTTCAACACATTAAACACCGCGCCAATGAGCCTTTAAGCATGAAAACTTTTTTTTTCTCTTTTGTGGTATAACAACCACTACTTTTATTCATCAATACAATACTTCAAGTTGTTTGAATTACAGTCATTCTGCATTACAGCATTTTTGATTTTTCACCTTTTTTCTTGATTTTCTTATTTTTTAAACTTCTCTTGATTCTAATATATACAATAAAATATGCAAATTAAAATCATAACAATTTTGCACTCAATGAATGTTAAATGAAAATTTTAAAAATTAAATTTAAGCATAATACCATACCTGTCTCTTATACACATCTTTGACTTTAGAAACACTAAAATTTATTTGCCNNNAAAAAAAAAAAAAAAAAAAAAAAAAAAAAAAAAAAAAAAAAAAAAAAAAAAAAAAAAAAAAAAAAAAAAAAAAAAAAAAAAAAAAAAAAAAAAAAAAAAAAAAAAAAAAAAATGCTATAAATATCAAAGAAATATATATAATCAAAGAAAGGTAAATCCAGTGTTCTAATAAAAGAACATGATGATACATAGTGTATGTAATTAAATTGTGTAATAAAATCACTCAGATGAGATTCGAACCTGCGACCTCTCGCTGTCAAGGCGAGCACCTTAACCATTACACCACAGAGGATTCATGGTTGAACATATTGAAATAACCGTCAGCTACATTATAGTACACAGTGATGATGCACCTCGAAAGGGCAATAAGTGCGGCGGGAAAGAATTAGTAAAATATAATAATCAAGATAGCCGTTAACACTTTTAAATTAGGCCCTATCTTATATATAAATAATCAAAGACAGGTAAAAACAGTATTCAATGTGCAACATCGTTGTGTAATACGATGTAGCTGACGGGTATTTGAATCTCTTCAACCATGAAGCCTCTGTGGTCAAATGGTTACGACGCTCGCATTGACAGCGAGAGGGCGCAGGTTTGAATCCCGTCGGAGAATTTTGATTACACAATGTATTTATTTACAGGAACACATTTGTTGAGAGCTATGCTATAGCAGCACCATCATGTCCTTTTATATTTGAACACTGTATTTACCTTCCTTTGAAGATATATACCTATATTTGAATAGGGGTGAAGGTAGGTGAGAAAAACCATAGGCCCCTATTTGTTACATCCCCAGTAAATACCAAAATCGATTAAAAAAGCATAATGAAACACCAAAATTATCATAGTTTCGACCACTTCGAAAGATTGAGCTGCGCCCGAACACACCCACTTCGCTCTTGTCTACATCGTTAATACAGTAGTAATATATTCTATTGCTGTATTTATTTGTATTATAGTACTACACAGGTATAGATCCTATAGATAGGCCTTTTAACACAATAAAAACCCGTCTTCTACTTTTAAATCGGATGGTAATGAAGCTCAAGAAATCTTCTTTTCCGGGCCCCCGACTTTTTGACAAAAAAACATGATAATGTCTATGGAGATTTTTGTATGATCGGAAAGAAATGAGGGAAGAAGGAGAAGGAGGGGTGTGTGTATTAATCCAGTCCCCGACCGAGTTACATTTTCTTGCAATTCACATTGGAGGATCTGGGGTCAAGGGTCCTGATCCCCTCCTTTGGCCAAAAAAAAAAGAGAAAATAAAAAAATTAAAAAAGAGAGAGAAAGAGAGAGAATTCTAGACCAACTTTTCAGGACACCGTGAGCTATTAGAAGTCGGGAAAGTTCATTTCCCGCCATCTAGGAATCAAAATTTTTCCTTGAGAGAACCCCTGGACCCCCTTTCTTTTCTGATTCATGGAAAAAGAATACTTGTGCAAGTGGAAAACCTTGAATTTTAAAGAACTTAAGTCATTTAAAGATGGCTCGGAAGTCGGAAAAGCTCATTTCCGCCATCTAGGAATCAATATTTTTCCTGGGGAGAAACCCCACACCCCCCGTTCTTTTTGAGATTTATCGGTTTATGTAAAAAGAATACGACGTATGCAATTACTCAATTTTGTTTATGTATGTATACACACATAATGCCTATTTACTGTAATAAGAATAGATGACCGTTTTCAAGAGGAGGAAACCTTGTATTTTGAAGAACTTAAAATAAAGTCATTGAAAGACTTCAGAAGAGGTGAAGCTCTATTATTAAAGACACCTAGCTCAAAAGTCAGGAAAGCTCATTTCCGGCTATCTAGGAATTTTCTCGGAGGAGGGACCCCCGGACCCCTTCTTTTTGGGGTTTTTGGGGAAAAAGTTGACTCCACCCCCTAAATTTGAACCCAAATCCCCCTGATTCATATTCACATTCATCATACTAGTGGGCCCCTCCCCCATTTTGAAGAACGTTCCGCCGGCCCTGTATAGGAGGTGGACTTTAAAGGGGTCCGGAGTCGTCCTCCGACTATCATATTATGCTGGATGATCATTATAAGAAATATGACGTCTCAAAGCAAAAATTTTCTAAAAAAAGATATAGGCCTACTTATTATAAATGTATTATCTATTTGGTAAGCGATTATTTGTTGTGGGACCTCAAAGAAAAGAAACCGCATTTTCGGCTGAAGTGGAATTTTCCGGGGATTCGAGAAGGGTTTGCACCACCGGCTGGTAGGGGGAGACCACATGATTCTATCTGTAGCCGGATGCCTGAGGTCTAGGCCTATTATTAAATTTATGAAGGCAATTTGGCGGAGCTCATGGGATTTGTTCGACGGGGTGGAGACCGTGGTCCGACAGGGGGTCTACAAATTTTCAGCGGGTGCAGTGGTGTGTTGCCTCTAAATAAACTAACGTAATTTCGGGCCATTTTAAGCTGTTCGAGAAGTATTTAACATTATTTTCCCTCTTCCTAAGTTGTGGTTCGACAAGTCCTGTCCGACGGGTGCTGGAGGCTTAGTCCTGTCCAATAGGGGAGGTGGTTAGAGCAACCCCATTGGCCACATAAAACGTTACAAACTATAGGCCTAAGATATAAGAAAGACGAAGTAGGCCTGCTATACCACATGACGTTTTGATGACTTGTCGCTCCATGTAGCGCTCGTAATCGTAACGTAAACCCACGTGGATTTGTGTTTTTGTGCAATATTTTTGCGCATATTGCTAGCCGCCCTGTTCTGGTTGGTCTGGAAGTGATTCAGTTTGATTAACACTCCGGCAAAATCCTGAACTTCTACCACGTTAGTGTAAAAAGACTAAAAATAGAGATTTCTTTTCAAATTGAATAACGCTAGTTAATCAATTTCTTAATAAATAATTTCTTCGTTAGACTACATGTCGTCAGTTTTCATAGGCCTGCCATGCATTGAATACAGGCCTATATGCACTCAGCTTATACAACGCAAGGTATATAGCTATACAGTAATAGGTCTACTAAACATTTAAAAAAAAAACAAAAAAACACGAAAACACATCCAAAAACTATGAATGACATTGTCGAAGGTTGCTAACGACGAAAAGAGAAAAGCGCTCTGATCTTCATGAAATAGCCCACATTAAATATAAATTTAATGTGGGCCTATAATGCGGGATTTCTTGATCATAAACCTCCTCCAGTTTTAATATAAATCAAATTTAATTCCCCTTTAACTAAGCTCTGCATTATCACTTGACAAAACTGGCTACACTATAATTATAGAGGGCGGCAGTCACTATTTTTAACTGATCATGGTAGATGTGCGCGGAGTTACAGTATTACATTTTCTGTCATGGCAATTTTATTTTATAGATTTTGTATCTCTCAAAGTTAATAGTACTGTGCTGCAATTTAAAAGTGTGGATTGTAATTTTAATTGTTCATTTAAAAAATTAAATTTTCAACTTTTAATGAGTAACAAATAATTCATTTTTCCGACGGAGAGGTCCGAACAAAGTGGCCAACTAGAGCCTCGGTCAACGGCCCACAATATTAAATCCCTTGCAAGGATTGGGGGTGGGGAGAGTTTTCATGGCTTAGTATGGTCCAAAATGTGCTTTTAGACCACACAACAGGGGGTCCAGATCTGTCTGACGGGGGAAATTCCTCTTCCCCCGCTGGCGCCACTACCGATGATTCCTCCATCCTGGGAAACAAAAAACTTTGATTTGCTTGACTATCAATTGTAAACAAAGTAAATAAAAACATTTTTTGTAAGATACCTCTCCAGAATTTTTATTGTTTCACACAAAATGTATTTTTACAGTTCCTTTATTTTCTGCTTATGTTTGCGTTTCTTGTTCTTATTACAAAAAAAAACAAGTTACGAAACTGTAACCATTACACTATTAAATATAATAATCTACAAGTAAGTTTATTTAGTGTTGTTGCATATTGAACATAATGTAGAAAACTATGCTTTAATTTCATTTTTATTTTTTAACAATTTTCCCTATAAGTTAATGAGCAGTGGTGTGACAGAAAGGCTGAAGGCCAACACCTTGGGGGTTAGGTCCAGGTAGAGCCCAGTGGGGGAAAAGATAATCACAGTCTCTCTGCATTATCAAAAGGAATAATGCTGAATGACCTAGGTGGGGGTGGGGGGCCATTATGTTCTCGGGCCCCTGGCTTTGACAAGCGAGAGCCAACAGCTGCAACGCCACTGCTAATGAGGGCGGTTTAGTCAGAAGATAGATGTAATAATTAGCACCCAGGTATATTTATACTGTATTACAAAGGCATATTCATTAACTGCTTTATCAGGTGTCAGCTCACAACAGTGTGAAGGCCTTCCATTGTTTATGACAAAGAAGCATTAAGCAGAATTTATCCATCTTATATATCAGCCAAACTTTGTGACTTCAATTGTTTCATTAAAAATTTTCAATTTTATATATTTTCGTTGACACAGAAATAAGCAGAAATATGATATAAGTAAGTTTTAATCATTTAATAAAGAAACTGGAGAAGTGTCGCAGATAGATTTTGTATTTTGTAGGAAGTTTCCTTGGTCCAATTGTTGTTGTCCGTCTGATGCCTATTTCGTTCCAGTTGAAAGGAGAGCCAGCAAACCTGATGCCATAAGTACAGATGCGATATAATTACTATAAAAACTACTGTCAAGGAAAACAAAAACAATAATCACAACAATAATTTGCATACAAGGAATGAAAATAAATGTGCATTACAGGTATAAAGGAAAAGATTTTATAACAATAATGGTTAAATTAAATAAACAAATAAATAAATAAATATAAATAAACAAATAAATAAATAAATATAAACAAATAAATTAATTAAAATAGATAGATACATAAAAAAAAAATAAATAAATAAATAAAAATAAATAAATAAATATAAATAAAAAATTAAATAAATAAATGACTAATAACAAATGACTTAGTGAAAGGATACATTTGGGGGTCAAATGACGACAACACAAAGAAACTAGCGACCACGATGAGGAACAGGTACAGAGTGTTGTTGTAGAAAATAGAAAATGTGGTAGCCTCATAATCTGCCACTTCATTCTTCTTCCACAAAATCCTGCACAGAAAAAAAAAACCACAATATACCTTTACATCAAATTTACCAAAGTGATTTATATTTTATACACTATAATCACAAGGGTGATTTCTATTTTTATTGAATTACATTATTTCCATACATACTTAAAAAGAGCAATTACTATTTATATTTGTTTAACACGTATTTAACAAATGTAAATTACTCACCTTTCATCCTTCTCTTTCCGTTGCATCTTTTTATTATCAGCATCAGAGAGCTTCTTCATCACATCTTTGGAAACAGCGTCCTCTCGCTTTTGTGCAATTCTATGGAAAAATAGGTTATCAAAAATATTAGCGAATCAAGCGAAAAACAAAGAGAAACATTAGGATTTTGCACATGATGAGGGTATTGTGAAATCCTTTGAAGATGATCTACCACTAATATCACAAAAGAATGTAACTTTTTGCCAAGTCCCACAACTTGAATACTGTTGTTCCATGTGCCAAAACAAGTTTACATGTACAAACATACTTTTTTGAAATTTTGTCTAGTCATATTTCATCAAAACGATATGTCTAATATATTGGCGGGAAAATATTGGGGGATGAGTAAACTCGTCGGCGGCACTGTGACAGCACTTTATATTCACTATGCCAAATGCGAGTTTTCACGTCGCTTTTTGCATGGGTTGCTATATGTTTAAAGGGCGACTCCACTTGTGCTGCTCGCGTGTACTGCCGGCAACATAACGCAACAAATATACATACATCATCTGTACGTTATGGTCTAGGTGTATCTTCCCTGAACTACCAGCCGTTAAGTCTGTGGTTCTACAATGTATAGCAAAGAAGTAATAAACGCTAGAATGTTACCTCGATTTTGTGGGACACACACGTTTGTGGAATAAACACATAATCTTAGCATAATTCTGACTGGTTAGTTGTTAAGTGTGATTTACACTCTAGAAGAATCCATTACAGTTTAACCCGTTTTATTACACAGTATTTTAATTAGTAAAAAGTCCACTAAAACTTTGTGGACTTTGGACTAAAATGTGGTAGAGTAGATTATATTCTATAAATGATCAGAGTAACTTTAAATGGTCTTTTTGATAGTAACAATTAATTCTTTTTTAGTATTGCGAGGAACGTTGTGGGTTGCATTTTGGGTCCTCATCCTGAAGTTCCTGCTTTTTGCAAAGCACATTACAATGAACCTTTCCGGAGTAGTAATTAAAAAAAATTGAACAATCAGAACACGGTCAGGAATACGCGCATGTCCCAAAAACACATGGTACATTGTCTCTCACTGTATTATTATTAGTCTGTGTGAAATGCTGCTTGATTATGTATACTCAACAGGGATTGGAGGAGGTTAAACTCTATGGCAGATTTGGTCCAATTAGAAACAAGCTTTAAACAGTGTAGTTTGTCTTTTATGGTGTCTGTAGATATCTTTGTTAATGACAGTTTCCTTTTGAGCACAGGTGGGCAAGGTGCAGTCCGGCAGTGATTTTTTTGCGGTACGAGAAAATGAATTAAAAACCCTATGTGTGCGGCCCGCCAAACATTTTTAACTAGAAATCACCATGTTTTTTTACAAAGCGACACCAATCATCTTTAAAAAGTAATGTTAAAACTGAGAATAACTTGGTACATAAAAGCAGTGTATGAAGATTTTTGAAAGCACACTGTAAACATAAAATGTTTGGGTGCAGCCCTCAGGTGTTAATGTTAAATTAAAAATTCAACCGATTTTTATGCCCACCCCTGCTTTTGAGCAATCCTGCCTACAGTAACATCACATTGAAATATTATTTTGTACAGTAAGTACAACAGGTCTCCCTCGACAATAATTAGGGACCCCTCAAATTAAAGACCAATTCTATTAATATATTATTATTAACAAATGTCTTTTATTCTATTATTCTAATTAGCAACCAAAGTTACTGAAGACCACAGAAAGCCAGTCCCAAAGGTGGCCTTTAATTGGAAGGAGACCTGTAATTGTGTAAAATCCGTTCTGTGAAAAACGAAATAAATCATTATTAAATAGTTTCTTAAATCAACTAAAAATGTTTACCTGTGCTTGAGAACAAATTTGACATTTTTGTAGGCAAAGGCAACAAGACAGGTACTAATGATGGTGAAGATGCCAAAAATAATTGCAGACTGTACTAGATCCATTTGGTGAATTCTCCAGTACACCCCTACACGAAAATGAAATTGGCCATTACATATCATCACTGTACAGCGCAAACATGGACAAAATATATATTATTATTAGTATTTTATTATATATTCTACATGGTACAGCAAAAAATATGTTACATTGCCTAAGGCCATGCTATGGCCAACCAACCCAAAGTCACAAAAGTAAGATTTTCCCCAAGGAGCACATGAAATACTTTATGCAATGTATGAAATTGAAAGCAGCACTTTTTAAGGTATAATTTGTTCAACAAAAGACAAAGCACACAGTTACCATACTTTAAAATTTTTTAACTGCAAGGAGAATATCTAAAAAAATCAGCTCCAATTTACGCAGAAAATCGCTAGGAAAATAGGTGCGCGGAATCGTACTTGCTGCATAATTGTGGTTATATATCAAGATTTGGTCAAAGCTTAATTTTCGGCAAAATTTGCGCAGAAATTTGACCTTATTCTTCAAAATGCGCGGACAGATTTTTATGCCAAATATTTGCGAGGAGGATGTATTCCCCACGTAGGACTTACTACTACTAGTGTATAACGTCTGGCACAGTCAGTCGAATTAAAAAAAGCCAAATATAGTAATTCATTCATACTGCTAGTACTAGTATATTTAAGGGTAATTTAAGCACGTACGTTTACAAAAAAATATAAGAAACAATATACTTGTAGGCTTAGGTCTAGATTGTAAAAATTGTTCAAAAAACATTGAAATAGGCTAGGCCTACATACGATTCGAATTTTGATGAGAATTCAACATGGCACGCCTGTGTACAGTCTATGTTGTATGATGAAATAATAATGATAATCACTTTACTTATATAAAACGTATTTTTAGTGTTTGTTAACGTAGGGCAGTTAGTTGTAATATAGTGACATGTATGCCTAGGCCTATACTTAGCTTAGGCCTAGGCATCCAGATCAATGTACAATACAAAACTGACACACGAACGAGCAGGGAGATGTAAACGTGGCAAACGTACACAAGCCGCTATCCATGTCACAAGGAAGAACCCTAGCCTAGTGTGGACTAACTGACGTCGGTCATAGTTTGGACGGTTAGAAAATGATATACAAGACACACTTACAAATAGGAATGGCCGAAACAATAAATGCATTTCCATAGAATAACGCAGATGACTTCGTACTAACATTGCGACTAAAATCCTGGAGCAATAGCTCTTCTTCTTTAGTAAGCTTCTTTCCACCAGCCATATTGCTTTAAAAATTTTACAGAGAGAGATCAGAGTGTGTGCAAGGGGTGCGATCGAGGAGAGATGAGAAGGCCGGTACGGTGGCTGCGTGTCCGCCACTGTGTGATACGGTAAATTATACCATTGGCTATGGAACGCCGAGAGTAAAATTACAGTTCATTTAATTCAATCCATTCACACTACATGTCAGCTCTACAATAATCAATTCTCCAGATTACCATAGTTGTTTTAAGTCCATTCCACTATCTTTCTTTTTAGTTAAGTTAGTTAAGTTGTTGGTGCTAATATTTTGTGTAATATTTATATTTACATTTCTGTGATATGTATGTTATATTGTTTTATTGTATAAACACAGGAAAGCAAATTTCATGTATATTTTTATATGTGACAATAAAATCTATCTTGAATCTTGAATGTTGAATCATTATGCTACAGAATGCTACCGCCGCAAATAGTGGATATATACACGACTGCTGTAGATTTAACAAACATTTTGGTACTTAGATACACGGCAAACGGCTAAAAGTGGATTTAGCACGTTCGCTGCCACACCCATTACCTGATTACCTTTTTAGGTGTGGTGAGAAAATTTGAAGAATTGGCACCTCAAAATAAGGCTTATTTTTTGTGATGCCTCATGTTTTGCATTCTCAACAGAATATTGTGTCGTGGAGTACCGTATAATTTTGAATAGTGCCACTGGATTGCTAATCTAGTCTCCAATCCGGCTGTTTTTAGGTGTGTTTTGTCCTGACATAGCCTAAATAAGTGTATATGGAAACATGTTTTTAATCTTTTTGTCACATACTTTCAGCAAGCGCATTTCCACACGGTATAGCCATAGGCCTATGTATTATTAATATGGGTTTTTTCATTAACGTAACCAATTAATCTAATTTTTTTTTTAAATGTTGTTGCTCGGAATATGAGTTAAAAAATATATGAAGTGTGAAAGTGAAATTGATAGGAATATTTCCTTGTCCTATGCCTTATTAAATTTATTGATTTTATTTTATACAATTTCCAGGTATACAAACATACAAACACGACACAGACAAACAGTGCAGCACCCCGTGGATTGTCAAGAGTACACAAGCACCTCTCCATGCTTCACCTCACACAGAAGAAAAAATACAATTGGCAATAAATTAGCATAGTTTTTTAATTGTCCGTATTATTTGATAGTGCATCCACCTATGTTATGTTAGTTCATTTTCATCAATATATTCATCCGATCTTATTGTTAAGTGTTCTACATAACGACATGCAATGATTACCTTCATCATTTTCTAATTATATTTGTACTTTTTGGCGTGGATTTTGAGAGTTAGATTTATTATTCATTTCATTTCATTTATCTCTTCCCAATGGTACAAAGTAAAAAGATAAGCACAAGAAAGAGGGTGGGGGAGGCGAACAACAGTGAGAGATGGGATTTCAGAAAGTGAACTAAATGACTATCTGTCTCCCAAAAACACTGTGTCCGAAAATACAACTCACAAAACAGACAATAAAATGTTAACATTAATATACATTTTCTATAAATAAAACAACTTTTATCATATAAAATATGGAATTTAAATACTATGAACATTTGTCTAAAACGGTATATATGTGCCAGTACATTCCACCTTACCAAACAGTGTTGGCAAACGTGGGGAGGAGGCGATATTAAATTAAGTTGGAGGAGATCTTACTTAAAAACTTGTTTTAGTTACATTTTCTGTTTGTGTTAAATTCTGTATAAAAAATAAAGATCAAGAAATGACTAGCCCATTAACGTTGCTTATGTTTTCTGTTTATTACTTAAACCTTGTTTTATTGTCAGTGGTATGAGCAAGGAACAGTGAAATTAAAACATTGTACTTTCACTGTTCTCTGGTATGAACAAGAATTGCATCTCTCACAATATCGCCGCATCGCCCTAGTAAATTTGACTCCGGCGTAATTACTAGTGATTTTGCAGAAGGGGGCTAAAATCTTAACATCTGGATCAAAATTCATTGATTTACCGATGAGATTCCCGTTGGTGAGACTCTCTTGGGGGGCTAAGACCCCTCTGGCCTTTGACCAATAACAAACTGCTTCCACGTGCCTGTAAATGGCACTCTCAGATTTTTTTTATTTTTTTTTTACAATTTATATTTATTAATTTAGGTCCAAATGAAATTTATATCAATTTTTAATTTAATTGTGCTACGTTTTCATAAAAGTATGCATAGCATGAATGCTACATGCTACAGGGGTCTACATTATGCCAAAAAAGCATAATTAAGCTACGAATGGCCACTATGAGGTTGGTAATTACGGTGGCCCATAAGTGATTCTACTGAGGGCGAACTTTACTTTCAACTTTTATCAAAGATATTATATTTGCACCCTTGCATATAATATATTACATTTATGTCGTGCGTAGTTTTTCAAATTGAATTGTTTTGTATTGTATATTCCTGAAGCCATAAAACAAAATAGGTTAATAACTTATAATATGTTACATTTATGTCGTGCGTAGTTTTTCAAATTGAATTGTTTTGTATTGTATATTGCTGAAGCCATAAAACAAAATAGGTTAATAGAGTATTACAGTATGCAACACTTTATGTCCACGCCATTCTACTAATATTGATTGCACCTAGAAGTAGCCCAGATGAAATCAATAACCTGATGCAAACCATGCAGCATTGAATAATATCGAATTTATCTTCATTTTTTATTAGTTTTACAAACAATTATATGTAGATAACTGATTCCAAAAAAAAAAAAAATACGTAAATATTGTACTGTGTCACCACGGTGTGTTGCGGCCACATATTAAGATGAGCTCTGTTATTATGTTAATGTTTATGAATTCAGCACTCTATGAGTGTAAGTAAAATTGTTTTAATGGAAGATGTTAACAATGTATTTTCGGTGGTATACTTTAGTCAAGTTTATATAATAATTAAAAAAAGATAATAATAATAATAATAATTATTATTATTATTATTATTATTATTATTATTATCATCATCATCATTAGGCCTACTATTATTATTATTATTTATCATCATTATTATTATTATTATAATCATTATCTTAATTAAAATCAGGCTCAGGAGGAAAAAGTGTTGTGGAACTGATTTTTCTAAGACAGAAAAATGTTGTTTGACGAAAAACCTGGGAACGGTGAATGAGTACAGATTTTTGAATACTTAAAAACTGGGGAAAAATTGGGCGTAACCGCCCTCTTTTTATACTTTTTTCCCCAGTTTTTGAATATTTAAAAATTTGTTTCTCATTCATCGTTCCCAGTTTTTCGTCAAAATACTTTTTTCTGTCTTAGAAAAATCAGTTCTACAACATATCAAGTAGGCCTAATTGTTTTCCTCCGGAGTCTGAATATCATCATCATCGTAGCAGATTTCATTTAGTTAATTAGATCAGATATTTCTTCTTCTTCAAACCCGTGCAATTTTCTTAAAACAGCTGCATAATTATTGTAAAAATACGGTAA